GCCGCAGTCCAGCTCCCCGATGGCTTCAATCTGCTGTGTCCAACACCACCACCTCCCCCAGACACAGGTGGGTCTACAGAGACTTTTATATGTATACGTAGTAGAAGTACTTGGGAAAAAAAAACAACGTAAGGTTTATATAGAAATTTATACGAGCCTGGCGCTGGTGGCTCACGCCTGTAATCCTAGCTACTCAGGAGGCTGAGATCTGAAGATTGCAGTTCAAAGCCAGGCCGGGCAGGAGAGACCGTGAGACTCCTATCTCCAATAAACCACCAGAAAACCGGAAATGGCACTGTAGCTCAAGTGGTAGAGCGCTCGCCTTGAACTGAAGAGCTGACGGACAGCGCCCAGGCCCAGAGTTCAAGCCCCATGACCGACCAAAAAAAAAGAAAAGAAATTTATACGAGTGAGGTGCTCTGGGTTTGATTCCCAGCACATAATGTCCTACCCTGACATAGAGTTCCTGGACTTTTGGGTTAGTACTTCCTCCTGCCTTGCCAGAGGAGGCTCTGCAAGGAAAAGTGTAATATAGAACTGGAAGTGGCACGTGTCTTCGTAAATAGGCTACAAAAATCCCAAAATGAAATCTAGGATGTTGTGTGAGTAAGAGTAAGTGAGAGAAAGAGAGAGACTGTGTGTGTGTGTGTGTGTGTGTGTGTGTGTGTGTGTAAGATCTTGTCCAAAGAAGAATCATGAGTCAGGCATGGTGGCACACACTTGTAATCCCAGCAACCTGGAGAGTGGATGCACATTTAAGACCAGTCCAAGCTGTCTCAAAAGAAAAATTATAAAATAAATAAAAGGACTGGATGTGTAGCTCAAATGGTAGAGCATAAGCACTTGTCTAGGACGTGTGAAGCTCTAGATTTGGTGCCAAAAACTGGAAAAAAAAAAAGAAAAGAAAAGAAAAGTGTCTATGGGAGACAGGAAGTACTTTATACACTAAAAAATAGAATATGCTTGTAGGAAATAGATCCTGTTGTATGTGGTCCTTGTACAAAACAGGAAATAAAACCGGATTGGAAATCATGTAGCGGGCAGGAAGAGGACTCAGGAAGTGATGTGTAGGCAGGAAATAGAAATAGCACCAGAAACAAGAGCATAGAATGGCATATAGGACAGGAAGTGGGCAGGGAGAATCAGAGAGTGAAGCAGTGTGAAATCACAGAGGTCATAATCAGAAAGACTTACTTGGGTGGGACAAGAATACCTCTCCCCAAGATGAAGTAACTGTGGGATTAAGCACAGTAAAGTCTGAATTAGCAAAGCAGTAAAGCCTGTCAAGAATTGTCTGAGTCTAAAGAAGATGAGCGACCTACCTGAGAAAGGACTGTTGGAAATAGTAATGTTGTATAGAATTGTGTATATTGTGCATAGCTTACCAATTGGACATGTTCTATGAAATGCATCACTAGGCAATTCCATTGTTGTGTGGTCATGATAATGTGTACTTTCACAAACATAGATGGTATAGCCTGCTATGCAGCCAGGCTGTATAGTTTAGGCTATTGCTCCTAAGGCTACAGTGAGCAAAACAAAACAAGATTAAATCGTGCACAAGAGGAAATGATGCGGTCAACCAATGTACTGCACACAAGTGAATAGAACTTAAATGTATAAGTAGTAGGAGTACTTGGAAAAAACAATATAAGGTTTGGTATAAAAATTTATACTAATGAGGCACCCTGGGTTTGATTCCCAGCACAGGAAAGAAAAAAAAAAACAGACATAAGGTAGCAACATAGTCATTCATTATGTGTATTATGTGCAGTGTGTAATTGGAAAGGCTCTGCCTTTATATAACTGACAGTGCCATAGGTCTGTTTACACCAGCATCACCGTAGACATGTGAGCAATGTCTCAAACAATGTCATGAATAAGGCTGCAACACCCCCAGGCTGTAGGAATTTTTCAGCTCCATTACAATCTTATGGGACCATTGTAGCATATGTAGTCTGTCATGTTGGGCAGCACATGACTAATAATAATGAAATAGGCTTTTTTTTTTTTTTGGTGGGGGACAGTCTTAGGGCTTGAACTCTGGGCCTGAGCACTGTCTCTAAGCCTCTTGGTGCTCAAGGTTAGTGCTCTACCACTTGAGCCACATTGCCACTTCAAGCTTTTTGTGTGATTAATTGGAGATAAGACTCCCACAGGCTCGCTTCAAACTGCAATCCTCAGATCTCAGCCTCCTGAGTAGCTAGGATTATAGGCATGAGCCACCCTCGCTAAGCAAAGAAGGCATTTTAGATGTAGTAATCAAGAGAGTAGTTTGACCCTGGGAAGTTCTGACCATCCTGACTAGAAAGTCTAGCTACCCAGAAATAGGTAAGAAGTCCTGGGCTAATAGGGTATGGAATCCACTATTGGAAATTTGCTGGTCTTACTGTCTTCTGGGGTGTGGACTTCAGGCTGTGAAGGTTATGATAAAACTCAGTCACCTCAGACTGACATATCTTCTCTTCTGCCCCTCCCACACACAGGACCTGAGAAGCTGCCAACCCTAGAGCACCGGGACTCTCCCCGGCACCGAGGCTCCGCCTCAGCCAGACCAAAAATGCTGGTTATCAGTGGAGGTGATGGCTATGAGGACTTCCGGCTCAGTAGTGGAGGTGGCGGCAGCAGCGAGACCGTGGGCCGAGATGACAGCACAAACCACCTCCTCCTATGGAGGGTGTGACCCTGTCTTCCGTGGCCCAGGACTCGCCTGCCCACTGCCCCAGCCTGCTTGCCTCTTCCCAGCCCACACGCAGACCTTGACCCCAGTATCTGAGCAGGGTGCACCTGTGCCTGCGTGGGCTCTGTATCACTGTCTCAGAAGCATTCCCAATGGAACATGTGCTGGCCATCTAGGCCAGGGCCTCTCCCACCCACTGGGTGCTCTGTGCTCCCAGTTTGTGATCAGGTTGGGGGCATGTGGGCTGCCCAGGACCTCTGTCCCTGGAGCTTCTACCAAAGACACGACTGGACCTGGACCCCATGGGACTGGGGAGGCCACGTGCAATATTGGGAGGGTTTTCTGGGGCAGCAGGAAGGCTGGGGAACAGCATCCTTTCCCATGTACAGTATTTATGTTCCTTTTTAGATGAGTACTTTCCAAAGCACTTATTTATGCAGTGACTTGGGGCAGGGCATGATGTGAGGAAATGACAGGAAGTAAAATGCCAGTTCCTGCCTGAGGGGCCACTCTGGTACCCTAACTAAGCCTTCCGGAAGGGACCAATGTCCACACACCTTCCCCCATTACACACACACACACACACACACACACACACACACACACACACACACACACACACACACACACACACACACACACACACACACACACACACACACACACACACACACACACACACACACACACTGCATGTCCAGGGCATTGAAACATGCCCTTACATACACTTTCAACCCATCCCAATCCAGAGGCCAGAACCAAGTGCCCTTAGCCACCCAAACAAGATGACTGTCAGGAAACTCCCACTGGGGGCCCTCTCAGGCTTTGGCATTTCCCAGGGTGTTGGTGGTGCCTTTAATGGTGTCTTAATTTGGGAACCCTGGTGGGGCCTTGGACAGGGCTTTCTCTCGGGTAAGAGAAAAGGACCCTGACTCCTCACAGTCCTTTCCCCAGTCCCCACCTCCCCATGTCTCATGCACTGGCACTGTGGTCAGCTTGGGGGTTGGATTTACAGCTGACCACTGAATCCCTTTTCACACCCTGTCCTGCCGGGGGATTGGGGAGCCTTCAAGAAGGACCCTCCCAAAGCAAGGGGGTCCTTCAGTTGGGAAGGCTCTCTGTTGAGGGAAGACTTTCCCCGCGCCTTGCAGGCTATAGGGAGCCACTCTGACCCTTGGCCCTTGCTTCAGCTACAACTCCAAAGGTCTGGTTTCAGATGGGGTTTGTTCTGTTCGGTTTTGTTTTTGTTTGGGGTGGGTGGGTTATTGTGGTTTTAGATTGTTTCTCTTGCTACCAAACAGTCATGTATTAACTCTCCTTGGATGATGAAACTTAAAGAAGTCAATAAATAGAAACACCAAAATGACTGCTCCCCAGTTGGCCATGGGCCAGAGGCCTCCGCCAGCTATCCCAGGACTGTCACCCCAGCCACAAGGGCTGCCCAACACCAACTCACTTGGTCAAAAGGGAGGCCTTGGAGAGCCCAGAGAGTGTGGTGTTACTCTAAGCAGATCATTGCTTCTGTCTGAGCTTAGAAAATTTAAGGTGTGCTAGTTAAGCTTTGTTAGCAGGTTGCATTTTGAATCTCCAGCAGATTACTTAGGCAATGTAAAACAGTACAGACCTTATGTACATCATCTGGGCATCAACCCAGAGCCGTCAGTCTGTGATGGGCTTGAAAGTGATGCTGACACGTGACAGGTGGCCAAAGAGCCAGGGCACTAGGGAGCCTGTCTAAGGCTCCTCCAGGAAACCATGTCCAGAAGGTAGGGCTGGGAAGCCCTAACCAAAGCCAGGAATCCAGTCTGGTGAAATCCATCTTCATTCTGGTCCAAGAAGGAAAAGGCTCAGCAATGGGGCAGAGAGCTTCTCACACTGCACACCTGCAGGACCTGAGGCTACAACAGGAAAGTCTCTAACCAAAATCACTGAGTTAGAAGCTCAATTCTGCCAGGCACCAATGGCTTACACCTGTTATGCTAGCTACTCAGGAGGCTGAGATCAGAAGATTGTGATTTGAAACCAGCCTAGGTAGAAAAAGTCTGTGAGACTCCATCTCCAATTAACCACCAGAAAACTAGATTGGAAGTATGGCTCTAATGGTAGAGTGCCAATTATGAGCAAGTGAGCCAAGCCAGAGCACAAGACCCTAGGTTCAAGCCCTGTACTGGCACAGACACACAAAGTTCAGTTCCTAGACTGAGTGTGTAGCTTAGCAGCAGTGTGTGCATAGCATTTCAGTCCTCAGATGTGGCACACACATCTCAGGAGTGCCAGCCTTCAAAGCCACAGGACATGCTGAGCACATCTCTGCACTATGATCTTCCTGGGGAGGATGGGATTATCTTATGCACAGCTGTATTGCAGAGTATAAGGCAATGTCCATGTGGGATTTATGATGAGACAAAGCATTGGGAACATGGAATTTAAAGCTGGACAGACCTAGTTTGGAACCTTGGCTTCACTACCAGTCACCTGTGGGTCTGATAAGTAGTGCTACTGTGAACCTCCATTTCCTCGTGTGTGAACTGGAGCTGATGATTCCTTCCTGCACAAGATGATTGCTTGATGTGCACTGGCCTTTGAGTTGCAAAGAGGAGATTCACTGTGCCCCTGAAATAAAGGGGTGCTCACTCGTGGAAACATGAACTGACAGAGGTATGTGAATTATCTGTCAGAGGTATGTGAATTGTCTGTCAGAGGTACAGCAGCTGAGATCTCTGGCTTCCCTGCTGTGTCTTTTCTTCCACTGCTGCCTGCTTGTGCTGCAGCCCTCACTGCCAGCTTCTGCTTCCTCAGGACTTCCAGCTTCAGTAAAGGATCAGACAGTTTTAGAACCAGGTCCCAAGGCAGGATCCACACTATTTCTCCAACTTCAGCATCTCAGCGGGAACAAGTCTGGCACACTGTTACTGTTAATAAGGCCTCTTCCCAGGCACTGGTTAGCCCTGCCCTTGGTCAGGTGCTCAGGCTGAGCCAGTTAGCAACAGGCAAGAAGATCATGCATGGGTAGGCAAGCCTCACACCCAGGGGGGGCTCCTGGAAGAATTAGTTCCTCTTATAGGGGTGAGGAACATCCAGCCCTCCTCAGGCCAGATAAGGCCTTCAGAATAATTTGGCACATGAATAGATGGACACATATGCTTCTCAACTGTTGTGGCCATCTGCCTTAACTGATAATTTTGTATGGCTTGCAAGTGATGTTATGAATATTCAGTGGTCCTTGGTAGAAGAAAAGGTTCTTTATTTCTGGATAGCATGGTTCAGCCTGTCCTGCCATTCCCACCTGAGGTCCGGGCCTGTCTCAGGCCAATTAAGGCAGCACTCAGATACCAGTATTTCTATAGGAAACTATTGAAGTATATAACATTAATACAAGAAAGAACACACACCAAGCCAGGTGCTGATGGCTCGTGTCTGTAATCCTAGTTACTCTGGAGGCTGAGATCTAAGGATTGTGGTTCCAAGCCAGCCCAGGCAGAAAAGTCAGTGAGATTGTTATCTCCACATAAGCACCAAAACACACACACACACACAAGGCCCACTTCACTCATTTTTCAGAAAGCTTTTATTTAAGAAAATGATCTAGGGGCTGGGAAGGTGGCTCAGTGGTAGAGTGCTTGCCTCACCTGCATGAGGCCTTGGGTTTGATTCCTCAGCACCATATAAACAGAAAAGGCTAGAAGTGGCACTGTGGCTCAAATGGTAGCATGCTAGCCTTGAGCTGAAGAGCTGAGGGACAGCGCCCAGGCCTAGAGTTCAAGCCCCATGACCGACCAAAACAAAAATGGGAGTGGAGCTGTTGCTCAGAATGATAGAGCAAGAATAGCTCAGGGACAGCACCCAGTCCCTGATTAAAGCCCCATAACTGAAAAAAAAATACACAAATGAGTGTATGGTTTGGTGGATATGCATAAAAGCCACAACAGGACATTGCATCACCTCTAAAGCACCTCTTAGCCTTCCTAGAGGTAGCTAGATCATCTCCTCAGGGAAGATGAAGCACAGAGAGGGACAAGGGCTTACTTGAGGTCACATAGTAAGGTGGCATTTTTGTTGGGGAAGGGTTTCCTGTTGTTGAAAAGGGTGTCGCAGAGAACTAATGCTTGAGCAGTGTGGCCATGGCTGCCCACAAGTAGGAGAAATTGGGCCAGAATATGAAGAGGGAACAGTTGAACCAAGGCAAGGAAGTGTGCGGGGGCCTGGTGTGAGGGACACTGGCACAGATCAAATGAACAGAGGAAGAAGAGAAGGCAGAGGAAGCTAGAATGAGCTTTGCAAGCCTTGGCTGCAATGTCCACTCCAGTAGGTGCCTAATAAGTAGTTATTGAATTTAGCCTGAAGAGTCCAGTTGAGATCTACAAAACAATAAACCCAGCTTCAAGATGGCTGCAAGCTGGGAACTAGAATCTTTTCCTTCCAAAGGTCTTGGGATGTTGCTACTTTTTGTTTTGTTTTGTTTTGTTTTTGGCCGTGGGGCTTGAACTCTGGGCCTGGGTGCTGTCTCTCAGCTCTTCAGCTCAAGGCTACCGCTCTATCACTTGAGCCACACCGCCACTTCCAGTTTTCTGGTGGTTTATTGGAGAAAAGAGTCTCACGGTCTTTCCTGCCCGGACTAGCTTTGAACCACAATCCTCAGATCTCAGCCTCCTATTAATTAGGATTATAGGCATGCGAGGTTAGTATTGTTACGTACTGTGTGTGTGTGTATGTGTGTTAGAGAGAGAGAAAGAGAGAGTGTGTATGTGTACTGGGGCTTGAACTCAGCTTTTTTTCTGCAGGCTAACACTACCTCTTGAGCCACAGCTCCACTTCCTACTTTTTGGAAATAAGAGTGTCATAGAATTTCCTGCTCAGGCTGACTTTTGGGCCATAATCCTCAGGTCTCAACCTGCTGAATAGCGAGGATTGCAGGTGTGAGCCACTGGCGTCTGGGTCATACTGTCCTTTTTAGAGGAGGAAACAGGCTCCCAGAGGTGAGCGTCCTCAAGGGCGTCCATCTTCCAAGATTAGGACTTGGATTCATACTGCTCTGCTCTAATTGCCAGGCTGGGGGAAGAGAGGAAAGGTGGCCACAAGGGGTAGCTGAAGGACAGGAGAAAGCTGTGGGGCCAGAGCCACATCTAGTCATTCATGATGCCTCTCTCTGGCTCATGTTCCTTAAGAGCAGTCCTGGAAAGAACTTCCTGACCCCAGAGGAGTGGAGAGGGTCACAGCCAAAGTCCATCCAGAGAGTAGGGTTTACCTACACCATCTATCTTTCAGAGAAGGTAGAACACAGAGAGCAACAGGGACTTACCTAAGGTTACACAGTAAGGCCTAAAGGGTTTCCTATGATCAGGAAAGTTAGAAAATACCCCCCCCCCAAAAAAAAAAAAGCCAGGGAGAGGCAGAAGACTGGATTAGCTGGCCCCTGTCCCACATTTCAAACCATTGTCAAGACACTGATCTGTGGATCCTGAGGGTACCATGGGTGAACAGTAAGTCTGGCTGAGGCACTGCCTTAGTTTAAGGAGGGAATGGGGACCTAGGCACCTGAAAATAAGCTCCAGCTCTGATTCTCCCTTGCTGTGTGACCAGAGGCAAGTGCCTGGCCTTCTCTGGACCCAGCTGACCTCTGGGAGCCCTTCACATCTTTTGCATGTCTGCCAAACACCAAGTTTCTCTGTGTCCTCTCAGACCTTAAGCCACGGCCACTTTCAGGAAGCTGCACAGGGGAAGTGCTATTTTGGGCCCAATTATGGCCAGTGAGGAGTCCTGACTGGCAGAGGCAAGTGAACAGGCATCCCAGGCTGGTCCGGCATAGACTGCTGGGCTGCTGACCTGGGAGGAGGACAGTGGGCCCTTTATCAGAGATAAATGGGGGACAGAACTCTGGGTTCTGAATGGTGACAAGAAAGAAGAGGGAGCAAGTTGGGGTGTCACAGCCCAAAGCTGACATGGGTTTTCTGTTCCTCCTAAATATTTTCTGTATTTCCCCCGGGGTGTGTTAGCCTGCACTGAGAGATAAAGTCACTTTCCTAGGGCCACACAACCTGGCAAAGGCAGATCTAGGACTTGACTCTTATCTGTGTGCCACCAAACTATGTATTTCTCTTTCTCCCCCCAATTTCTCTTCTCTAGGCTCCTTGATCCCAAATGCTTGATCCCAAGCTGCCTAAGTATAACCCACATATTCCATGGCTTTTCTCTGCTCTCTAAACTCTAGTCTGAGCCAGGCACTGGTGGCTCATGCCTGTCATCCTAGCTACTCAGGAGGTTGAGATCTGAGGATAGTGGTTCAAAGTCAGCCTGGACAGGAAAGTTTGTAAGACTCTCATTCCAATTAACCACCAGAAAACAGGAAGTGGAACTATGGCTCAAAGTAGTAGAGTGCTAGCCTTGAGCACAAAAGCACAGGGACAGTGTCCAGGCCCTGAGTTCAAGCCCCACAAATGACACACACACAAAAAAAACCCTGAAGTCCGACCTGGGCAGTCCCACCAGCCCCACTGAGAGCCCCCTCTTAGACCAAGAGCCTCTCATACTTGCATTCCTGAACACCAGAGCAGTGGACCAGAAAGGTCCAAGCCAGGGAAAACAAAGGAGTGTTGGATTTCCCGTGAGGGAGCCAGTGAGGCCCAGGATAGAATTTGAGAATCCAGCACTAGGGGATTCCACATCTAGATCTAAGTGCAGGCTGAGCCTTGTCCTCAGACCCAGGAAGTGTATGCCTAGCTCCTGACCCTTGCTGAGTCCCTCCTAGCTCTAAGGCTTGGCTCCATGGAGCTCAGGCACTCATAGATGATAAGATGTGCTTCGCTCTAGAACTTTTCCTGTTGCCAATCAACCTAGGATAGTACATTGAAATTTAAGTCTGAGCCTCTGGACTCCCCCTGCCCCCCTCCTTTTTTTTCTTTTTTGGTGGTACTGGAGTTTGGACTCGGGGCTTTGCACTTGTTAAGCAAGCACTCTTACCACCTGAGCCGCTCCTCCAGCCCCCCGCCTGAGCTCTTTATGTTTGTCCTTCTTAGGCTTGGGTTCTGCATGCACATGATTTGACCAGTGTTGGATGGAAATTTTTACCAGACTTACGATGGTTGCATCTACCCTGCACATGTGCACTTTTTTCCTTTGTCATTAATCACTAAACAATTCAATATAGCATCTATTTATATAGCAGTTACATTGCATTAGGCATTAGATGTAGTCTACAGATGATATACAGCACTGGAGAAGATTGCATAGGATTGCATACATGTAAATACTATGCCCTTTTATATTTCACTCCAACATTTGCGAATTTTGGTGTCTGCAGGCTCCTGGAACTAGGAAACCAAGGTGAATTACACTTCCATGTGGGAATTCAGCCAGCAGGGGGTGCCATGCCCCCAAAGGCAAATCCCTGTTGGCTGTGATTCTGTGACCCAGGACCCCTGTGCCCCAAGCAAGGCCTTGCTGGGATGTGGAGCCATACCCTGGCCTCCAGGTCATTGTCACAGTCTAGCTCATCATGGCCTTATTCTGTGTCATGTATGATGAAGTGCACTGGTGCACGTCTTGTTTGGGCTTTGCTTCCCAAGCTGCACTATGGGAGACTCAGCAAGATCTTCACCAGGATCTCCAAGCTCCAATACTCTAATGCTGAGATTCTATGGGGTCACCTCAGATACCTTAGA